CATGAATATCATGAGCTTGCGTTTACACGGTATTCTCCATAGAGAATTCGAACGTTTTTTCACTGTTTCGTTCAGACTGCCGTTTTTATTCAATCCTGCATGACAATGACAATTTTGTTGTTTTTATTGTGTGTAAAAACGCATATTTTATTAGATATATAAATATATTTATTCAAACCGTTATTGAGTTTATTTTATTGTATGATATCGTAGGTAGTAGCTGTCTGTAGTGTGGTGCGTAAATACTTTCTGGCGGGTCTTTATCTTAAATTTGATAACTAACAGGGACTGTGCCATGCATGGCTTGTTTTACTTTGTTACTGTACATTTACCATGGTGACATTGTTTTGCAGATTATGCATGACAAAGCTAGATGTACTGGACACTTTTGAAGAACTCAAAGTTGGTGTTGCTTACAAATATCATGGAAAGACATTGTCTTCTTTCCCAGGTTAGTAATAATCACTTGTATTACTTCTGTTGATTTCATCACTGAGTTTGACTGAAAGATAAAGTAAGAAAAATACAACAACAACTTATTTTACCAATAAAAATAATATTGTCATTCATCTTTTCAGCTGATCAAGATATGTTCAACTCTGTAGAAGTAGAATATGTCACATTACCAGGTTGGAAAGAAAGTACTGCAAATTGCAGGCAATTCAATGAACTTCCTGTTAATGCACAGCAGTATATAAAGACAATAGAGGAACTCCTGGCAGTGCCATGTAAGTGACAAGTTTTGTACAATTCTGCAACAAAATGTGATTTTTAATGTGACTGTATTTTATTCATTTTATTTGGCACCACCTCAAAAGTAAATATTGAAGTAACATCTATTGTTCAGAGTTCAGTCGTCTGAGCCATGAGAATTATAAGGAATATTCAAAAATGTTGTAAGATTTGTTGTTACCGTACTCGACTGTGTTAGCGTCTATCCTCGGCTAAGCACCCATCCTCGGCTAAGCGTCCATCCTCGGCTAAACGTCCATCCTCGGCTAAGCGTCCATCCTCGGCTAAGCGTCCATCCTCGGCTAAGCGTCCATCCTCGGCTAAGCACCCATCCTCGGCTGAGCACCCATCCTCGGCTAAGCGTCCATCCTCGGCTAAGCGTCCATCCTCGGCTAAGCGTCCATCCTCGGCTAAGCGTCCATCCTCGGCTAAGCGTCCATCCTCGGCTAAGCACCCATCCTCGGCTAAGCACCCATCCTCGGCTAAGCACCCATCCTCGGGTAAGCGTCCATCCTCGGCTAAGCGTCCATCCTCGGCTAAGCACCCATCCTCGGCTAAGCACCCATCCTCGGCTAAGCACCCATCCTCGGCTAAGCACCCATCCTCGGCTAAGCGCCCATCCTTGGCTAAGCGCCCATCCTCGGCTAAGCGCCCATCCTCGGCTAAGCGCCCATCCTCGGCTAAGCGTCCATCCTCGGCTAAGCGTCCATCCTCGGCTAAGCGTCCATCCTCGGCTAAGCGTCCATCCTCGGCTAAGCACCCATCCTCGGCTAAGCACCCATCCTCGGCTAAGCGCCCATCCTCGGCTAAGCGCCCATCCTCGGCTAAGCGCCCATCCTCGGCTAAGCGTCCATCCTCGGCTAAGCGTCCATCCTCGGCTAAGCACCCATCCTCGGCTAAGCACCCATCCTCGGCTAAGCACCCATCCTCGGCTAAGCACCCATCCCCTTCAAAATCCCCCTAATTTGACTGTCTAATCATAAAACTTGGTCTTTGTTTAACCGTTTCAAATACTGGTATTAGGATGCAGCATTGATATCGACCGCCGTGAATATGTTGTGAATGCGCAAGACCACAGTAATCATGCATAAACTACGCTTCGACAATGACCTGTTAATGAAAGTGAAATGCAGTAAATATTTTATGCCATATTCAGTTTACCTATCAAAACTTGCCAGTTATCAGTTTTTTAAAAAATCATTCCGTTTATTCGCCAAAATGAATTCCAACAGATCGTACTGTTACATTGATAATTCACTTCTGCATTGCGTTAACCAGAAAGTCGTGAATTTCCGAAGACTTGCGTTGGTACAATGCAACATTCTGATTCATTAATAACAGACTTGACCCATTAGGTCAAAGAATGTTGATGCAAGTAATATCGTGCAAAAACACATCATGGCAGAAAGTGCTTTTCATCAAGAGTTTGTGTGCGATCCAACACATTCGACAATGATAATAATGAAGATTTTGACCTTGACTGTGTTCAAACAGACTCTAATATTTTTAATCTCGTAAATTTGAGTGGTACGTAATTATTATTGTAATAAAATGTGCATATTTTTTGTGACATTTTTGCTTCTTCATTGTAAAAGTCAATGACGACGCAACCAATTTCGTAATTTTCGTAATATTCCCTTCAATCTGTCACATGATGAACTAAAATTGTTATTTGCTCTTTTCCGATTGGGGTGCAGTCTTTCAACGACAATGATTAACCTGAATTGCACTAAAAAATAGTTAGTTTGTGAAATACCGCCCACAGTCAAACTTAAATATTTAGATTTCTATCCTCAGCATTGAATGAATCCTATCTACCATCTCCCGGTACCACAATAAAGTGTGCATGTTAGATTCTGACGTTCAAACTATAATCAGTATATCATGCATAATTAAACAAGAATGAAAGATTAAACATTGGTCCTGGCATCTCTGAACCTGGACCTAGCATCTTTTAACCTGAACCTAGCTTCTCGCTTAATTTGTTCTATTGACATCTCCATATATTACCCACTGTAAACCAGTTTTACTGCTAGGTTAATGGAATTTACTTATCGTAATAAAACAAAATCAGTATTACACGCAGACTTGTCTTTTGTGGCATCTGCGTGCCTGCAGAATGTACACCAGTGTTCTCCCCAGGATACAAACAGCGTGGCACTGTCTCCATTTTGCTCCGAGAGACCGCCATGCTTATCACGCTTAAAATCATTACCGCCATGCATGCTTGATTTCTGCACCTTTACTTTTATCTATTATTTCGACAGCTATTGTTCTATGAGACATGTCCTTGCTGTTCATAAACAGCCATTAACAACTGACAGAACAGAAGTCAAAAGGCTGCTAAGTTTGTTTTGGTTGGCATATATCATTGAAAGTTTTGGTCTATCTACGCAATCTATTGATCAAGCCATACCCTTTGTCAAAAATAAATCGTTTGAAGAAAATAAATAATATATGAAATCGAAAATAAAAAAAAATGTTCAACATGTATAGGAATCAGTAAAACATCACAAATTCAGTATTTACGCTACCTTATCAATCACACCATGACCGATGTCCGATTTGAAAACAAAAATCGTTCGAAGAAATGCTGATTCCAATGTTTGAAAATAAAACTTTTTATGGAAGTACGAATGATCAGTGAAGTCAAAAAATCGTTGCAGGCTCCACGTAAGGCAACAAAAACATGATGTAAAAAAGTTCAACTTGCTTGCTTCAAAGCCTTTTTCAGTCGGAAAAACACTATTGCTGTCAGTCTGTCATACTGCGAGTGTCAGTCTGTCATACTGTGAGTGTCATACTGCGAGTGTCATACTGCGAGTGTCATACTGCGAGTGTCAGTCTGTCATACTGCGAGTGTCAGTCTGTTGTACTGCGAGTGTCAATCTGTCATACTGCAAGTGTCATACTGTGAGTGTCAGTCTGTCATACTGCGAGTGTCAGTCTGTCATACTGCGAGTGTCAGTCTGTTGTACTGCGAGTGTCAGTCTGTCATACTGCGAGTGTCATACTGCGAGTGTCATACTGCGAGTGTCAGTCTGTCATACTGCGAGTGTCAGTCTGTCATACTGCGAGTGTCAGTCTGTTGTACTGCGAGTGTCAGTCTGTCATACTGCGAGTGTCATACTGCGAGTGTCAGTCTGTCATACTGCGAGTGTCAGTCTGTCGTACTGCGAGTGTCAATCTGTCATACTGCAAGTGTCATACTGTGAGTGTCAGTCTGTCATACTGCAAGTGTCATACTGTGAGTGTCAGTCTGTCATACTGCGAGTGTCATACTGCGAGTGTCAGTCTGTCATACTGCGAGTGTCATACTGCGAGTGTCAGTCTGTCATACTGCAAGTGTCAATCTGTCGTACTGCGAGTGTCAATCTGTCGTACTGCGAGTGTCAATCTGTCGTACTGCGAGTGTCAATCTGTCATACTGCGAGTGTCAATCTGTCATACTGCGAGTGTCAGTCTGTTGTACTGCGAGTGTCAATCTGTCATACTGCAAGTGTCATACTGTGAGTGTCAGTCTGTCATACTGCGAGTGTCATACTGCGAGTGTCAGTCTGTCATACTGTGAGTGTCAGTCTGTCATACTGCGAGTGTCATACTGCGAGTGTCAGTCTGTCGTACTGCGAGTGTCAATCTGTCGTACTGCGAGTGTCAATCTGTCGTACTGCGAGTGTCAATCTGTCGTACTGCGAGTGTCAATCTGTCGTACTGCGAGTGTCAATCTGTCGTACTGCAAGTGTCAATCTGTCGTACTGCAAGTGTCAATCTGTCATACTGCAAGTGTCAATCTGTCGTACTGCGAGTGTCAATCTGTCATACTGCAAGTGTCAATCTGTCGTACTGCGATTGTCAATCTGTCATACTGCGAGTGTCGTACTGCGAGTGTCAATCTGTCGTACTGTGAGTGTCGATCTGTCGTACTGTGAGTGTCGATCTGTCGTACTGCGAGTGGCGATCTGTCATACTGCGAGTGGCGATCTGTCATACTGTGTGTTAATCTGTCATACTGCGAGTGTCGTACTGCGAGTGGCAATCCGTCGTACTGCGAGTGTCGTACTGCGAGTGGCAATCCGTCGTACTGCGAGTGGCAATCCGTCGTACTGCGAGTGGCAATCTGTCGTACTGCGAGTGTCAATCTGTCATACTGCGTGTGTCAATCTGTCATACTGCAAGTGTCAATCTGTCGTACTGCGAGTGTCAATCTGTCATACTGCGAGTGTCAATCTGTCGTACTGCGTGTGTCAATCTGTCGTACTGCGAGTGTCAATTTGTCGTACTGCGAGTGTCAATTTGTCGTACTGCGAGTGTCAATTTGTACTGCGAGTGTCAATTTGTCGTACTGCAAGTGTCAATTTGTCGTACTGCAAGTGTCAATCTGTCGTACTGTGAGTGTCGATCTGTCTTACTTCGAGTGGCGATCTGTCATACTGCGTGTGTTAATCTGTCATACTGCGAGTGTTATACTGCGAGTGGCAATCCGTCGTACTGCGAGTGGCAATCCGTCGTACTGCGTGTGTCAATCTGTCGTACTGCATGTGTCAATCTGTCATACTGCGAGTGGCAATCTGTCGTACTGCGAGTGTCAATCTGTCGTACTGCGAGTGGCAATCTGTCGTACTGCGAGTGGCGATCTGTCATACTGTGTGTTAATCTGTCATACTGCGAGTGTCGTACTGCGAGTGGCAATCCGTCGTACTGCGAGTGTCGTACTGCGAGTGGCAATCCGTCGTACTGCGAGTGGCAATCCGTCGTACTGCGAGTGGCAATCTGTCGTACTGCGAGTGTCAATCTGTCATACTGCGTGTGTCAATCTGTCATACTGCAAGTGTCAATCTGTCGTACTGCGAGTGTCAATCTGTCATACTGCGAGTGTCAATCTGTCGTACTGCGAGTGTCAATCTGTCGTACTGCGAGTGGCAATCTGTCGTACTGCGAGTGGCAATCTGTTGTACTGCAAGTGTCAGACTATGAGTGTCAGACTAACAATTATATCTTTTTCTTTCAGTAAAATGGATTGGAGTCGGTAAATCAAGGGAGTCTATAATACAGAGGTTTTGAGTGACTTGAATCCTATGATGAATGACCTTTTTGTCAATAAAAAGGGAATAATGTAAATACTAAAAACAATGTAATATTTTGTGAGTTATATTTGTGATATATTGATGGTCTCTAGGAAGCTAGTTTTATGTCCATTGATATTATTTAGGATTAGGTGTTTTTCTGTAAGTTACAATCATGTGAGGTTGAACAGATAATGTATTTTTTTGACGACTTTTAACTGAAAGTGACTGTAGTATATATGTTCTTTATTATGTTGATGTTTTTCTGTTGGGGAAAAAAATATTGAAGTTTGGTTTATTTATTGTTAAAAGTACTTTATTTTGTGAGAGAAAATATTTGTATTTGAAGCATATTTACCAATGAAGTATTTTATCTGATGTAATCATGGTTTAGTTGAACCAAAGACTTTTTTTCTCTTGTCTTGTTTCAACAAGGTCATTAAGTGTCATGCTGAGTTAACCATAATATAATGTTTTGGAAATGATTGTATTTATAGAAGTACCAGTTATAGATAGATCATTTCATTTTTTCAAAATTCAGGGATAGACTTTTAACATCATGCTTATTTTAGAATTTGTATAAATATCCTATTTGCTCTGTTATTTTTCTGTGAATATTTACAAAAATAAGTGAGATTGGTTTCATGAATGGAGCATATTTTATAGCAACAACATGTTGTTGGTCACATGGAGTAGATTATATTATTAGTGTTTGTTTTAGATCATCAATTGTTTTAATAGTCTTCCAATGTGGGCATGACCTTCCGGCTGAGGTGGGGTGAGGGATGTGAATGAGGTAATTATAAATGTAAGTTTAAAAGGGTTAATTAATAAACATTTTTGCTGACCCTGAAACAAACAAAACCAATGACTATTTCATTAATTGTAAAAAAACAAAACAAAAACAATATGGTCTCAATCTTATTAAAATCTTGTATAATTATACTATCATGGTTTATGGTCGTTGGTTACAACACCTCACTATATGGTTCAATCAAAACTCATCACTCCCTATATAAGATTGACAGAGTGCCATACTAAAACAGTCACTACCTATATCAGATTGATAGAGGGCACCTACCAAAACAGTCTCTTCCTATATCAGATTGATCGAGGGCGTCATACCAAAACAGTCACTACCTATATTAGATTGATAGAGGGTGCCATACCAAAACAGTCTCTACCAATATCAGATTGATAGAAGGCACCATACCAAAACAGTCTCTACGTATATCAGATTGATAGAGGGCGCCTTACAAAAACAGTCTCTACCAATATCAGATTGATAGAGGGCACCTACCAAAACAGTCTCTGCCTATATCAGATTGATCGAGGGCGTCATACCAAAACAGTCACTACCTATATTAGATTGATAGAGGGCGCCATACCAAAACAGTCTCTACCAATATCAGATTGATAGAAGGCACCATACCAAAACAGTCTCTACGTATATCGGATTGATAGAGGGCGCCTTACAAAAACAGTCTCTACCAATATCAGATTGATAGAGGGCACCTACCAAAACAGTCTCTGCCTATATCAGATTGATCGAGGGCGTCATACCAAAACAGTCTCTACCAATATCAGACTGATAGAAGGCACCATACCAAAACAGTCACTCCCTACATCAGATTGATGGAGGGCGCCATACCAAAACAGTCACTACCTATATTAGATTGATAGAGGGCGCCATACCAAAACAGTCTCTACCAATATCAGATTGATAGAAGGCACCATACCAAAACAGTCTCTACGTATATCAGATTGATAGAGGGCACCATACAAAAACAGTCTCTACCAATATCAGATTGATAGAGGGCACCTACCAAAACAGTCTCTGCCTATATCAGATTGATCGAGGGCGTCATACCAAAACAGTCTCTACCAATATCAGACTGATAGAAGGCACCACACCAAAACAGTCTATACCTATATCAGATTGATGGAGGGCGCCATACCAAAACAGTCACTACCTATATTAGATTGATAAAGGGCGCCATACCAAAACAGTCTCTACCAATCCTCGGGGGCGGACATCCGGGCATTTTCACCGCCTGGCAACCCACGGCGGTGAAAACAAAGGCCCAAAACTCGCAGAAAACAGTACTTTGGGATGATTGTTGAGACTCCCCTGAACAGTGTAACAAGATTAGCCCTACGTGTGTAACATATATAAACAACCAGTTCGGGATTACTTCAAAGTTGAGTTTGTGTTGTTTTCTCGAATTTTCACCGGCTCGACCGGCGTTCCACAGCAGCGCGCACAGAGCCCATAGAAATGCATGGCACAGTGGTGCACGTCTTAGCAACGTGGAACGTCTGTGACGTAGCTCCGCCCCCGAGGATATCAGATTGATAGAAGGCACCATACCAAAACAGTCACTACCTATATCAGATTGATAGAGGACGCCATACCAAAACAGTCACTACCTATATTAGATTGATAGAGAGCACCATACCAAAACAGTTTCTACCTATATCAGATTGATGGAGGGCGCCATACCAAAACAGTCACTACCTATATTAGATTGATAGAGGGCGCCATACCAAAACAGTCTCTACCAATATCAGATTGATAGAAGGCACCATACCAAAACAGTCTCTACGTATATTAGATTGATAGAGGGCGCCTTACAAAAACAGTCTCTACCTATATCAGATTGATAGAGGGCGCCATACCAAAACAGTCTCTACCTACTGTAAAATGACTAATATTCACTGGGTTTAAATTTCACTGATTTACCATTTCAGGCATATTCAGTGGGTTTTAAATTCACGGTTTCGTCATTTAGATAATGTGTTCTATGCTAAATTTTACATATTCACTGTGTTTTAATTTAGCGCATTTTTCCAGTCAGCGAAATAAGCTAAATTAAAACCCAGTGAATAATTACCCCCTTTACAGTATATCAGATTGATCGAGGGCGCCTTACAAAAACAGTCTACCTATATCAGATTGATAGAAGGCACCATACCAAAACAGTCTCTACGTATATCAGATTGATAGAGGGCGCCTTACAAAAACAGTCTCTACCTATATCAGATTGATAGAGGGTGTCATACCAAAACAGTCTCTACCTATATCAAATTGATAGAGAGCACCATACCAAAACAGTCTCTACCTATATCAGATTGATAGAGGGCGCCTTACAAAAACAGTCTCTACCTATATCAGATTGATAGAAGGCACCATACCAAAACAGTCTCTACGTATATCAGATTGATAGAGGGCACCATACCAAAACAGTCTCTACCTATATCAGATTGATAGAGGGCACCATACCAAAACAGTCTCTACCTATATAAGATTGATAGAGGGCGTCATACTAAAACAGTCTCTACCAATATCAGATTGATAGAGGGCACCATACCAAAACAGTCTCTACCTATATCAGTTTGATAGAGGGTGCCATACCAAAACAGTCTCTACCTATATCAGATTGATAGAGGGTGTCATACCAAAACAGTCTCTACCTATATCAAATTGATAGAGAGCACCATACCAAAACAGTCTCTACCTATATCAGATTGATAGAGGGCGCCTTACAAAAACAGTCTCTACCTATATCAGATTGATAGAAGGCACCATACCAAAACAGTCTCTACGTATATCAGATTGATAGAGGGCACCATACCAAAACAGTCTCTACCTATATCAGATTGATAGAGGGCACCATACCAAAACAGTCTCTACCTATATCAGATTGATAGAGGGCGTCATACTAAAACAGTCTCTACCAATATCAGATTGATAGAGGGCACCATACCAAAACAGTCTCTACCTATATCAGTTTGATAGAGGGTGCCATACCAAAACAGTCTCCACCTATATCAGATTGATGGAATGTGCCATACCAAAACAGTCTCTACCTATATCAGATTGATAGAGGGCGCCTTACAAAAACTGTCTCTACCTATATCAGATTGATAGAGGGCACCATACCAAAACAGTCTCTACCTATATCAGATTGATAGAGGGTACCTTACCAAAACAGTCTGTCAAAGTTTTGCAGGCATTCTGAGAAGAAAGTGGGTTGTTATAATATCGATTTGCACTGGGCAGTTAGTTGGTTAACTAAAGTCAAATTTATTATTTGGTCTCCGTCCGTCCGTGCGTCTGTGCGTCCGTGTGTCCGTCCGGAGTCATATCTCAAAATCCCTTTCTTTGCATGTGCCTTGTACTTTATGTGGGACATGTGCCAGAATCAAGGAGGATTCGCACAGAGTTCTGGGTAAATCAAGTGCGCATACTCATTTTCACCCAATCAGGCGTGCCGTAACAGCGAGTATTTATTCTGGCTGCTGGCCATTTTAGTTCATGAAATCGTCGGATATCATCAGAAAACGTAACACCTGATCCCCTCTAAAAATTTTGTTTCGCATTTTAAGGTAAGAAATCAAAATTTGAAACCGACAGGGTGTCGATTTACTAGGTGCCATGTTTCACAACTTGTTTATTTATATACGTATAGCGGATGATTTGTTTTTTTAAGGTAGAAGCCTACTCATAAATTATAAAACCCAGAATTTATTCATTTTGCAATAAATTGTACTCCAAGGCAATAAAAGGATATTGACCTAAAAAAAGTTGGGGGTCACCAGCCTTTTTTTCGAGAAATGGATGGTTGTATTTTAGTGGAAAGTCGCCATTTTGACACTATTATAACACTTTTACCACAGGTTCCTATGGCAGAGATATTATGCAATATCTCACAATCTAGCCTGGTGACATAGGCTGAAAAAATCATATATTGTTAATGATGGAGTACCTTTTGTTGTTCTGAATTATTAAAAAAATCTGGGTTTTAAAAAGTGTCAAAAAATGCAATTTTCTTTTAACATTATGTTCTATGGAATTGTTCTAAAAATAGCAATTTTTAAGAAATATTGGGACACGTAACTCAAAAAGCATAACTGTAACACACAAAATAATGCTATTTCATTATACCATGGGACATTAGCTTCATGATTGTACATAATAAACTAATGAACATTGTCATGCGATTTATGACAAATTTTGTCAAAAATTATGACTAGGCTTCTACCTTAAATTAGTATTCATTGATTTTCAGCCCCCAAGTGACTGTGTGTAGGATTGCCGTGGAGTGCGCCATTTAACTGGAGACATTAACTTCCGAACAATCAAATCACTAAAGTCCGCGCCATTTTCGGAAGAGTTTTGTTTATTGTCATCGTGCTTGATTGTATTTATTTGTTTTCACACGTTTTATCAGTTACTTTTTTCAGCAGCTATTATGGGGGTAAGTGAACTTTATTTCCGTTATATCTCGCGACAGTGTGTTGTTCATGTACAGTTGCTGGACGATTATAATCGATCACGATCACCAGACAGCCGGGCAGTTGGGCACTGTTACGAGTAACCGTTGTTAAAATTATCATCGGGTTCATGGCTGATCTTTCCTAGTGTACTTAATAATTGTTGAGACATGTGAATGCTGTGTAATTTTGTGTTTGATCGACACTTCAATTTTCGTGTCACGTCATTACTACATCTTACATAACATAAACTACATGTGTCGGAGTAATTTCTGAATCATTTATCTGTGAAGCATTGTAATTGAAACATGCAATATTTGTTAATAGCTTTATTCATTTCGTTTTATACAAGTTCAATAATACTGTATTCTGACTTATACATTGTTGCAAAATACGGATTCTGAAGTGAGACGACGACATGAATGCGAACGTGGTAGAAACCACCGCAGTGTGTTCTTTTGTTTCAATTTTTATATTCATCCAATTAGAAGTTTTCCCACTAATTTTCTTACACGGTCAAGAGTTTATCGATGTATATCAAGGGCATACTGCCAATTCTGTATCATTCTTACAATTTGTGTTATATCGTTGATATCGAGTTGTAAGTCTCCGGATTTCCAGCGGGTTTTCCGTTAGTGAATAAATTCTGAGTTTTCATTAAGTCGTTCTTCTGTGGTGATTGGTGCTGATTGTGTAGCAGATAATTTTGCATACTATATTTCGTTACATTTCCATATCCGCAACGTATCGTCCCCCACAACATGGCCTCTACGAAGCGTTATTCATATTCCCAAAACATTTGAAACACTTAACAGACATTTCTCTCTCTTCTGAAAGCTGGCGCAGTGAACATGAGCTGGGCCGAAATCGTTTCAAAAAAAGAGCCAACCGAAAAAAAAAATCGTTAAATGACGCAGTATTAAAAGTATAGTGCAAGAGTGTGGCTTCCTCTAATCTTTGTTATTATGTGCTGCACTTTTAATTTGGCTAGAGGCGGTTACCGGGAAACAGTTGACTCTTTCAGGACGGCGCACTTTTAATTCAGCTGGAGTTGGATACCCAGAAACAGTTGACTCTTTCAGGATGGCACACTTTTAATTTATATTCAGGATGGATGGGCGTAGCTACAACATGAGAAATATCTCAAATTTACTCTGATATGGGTACTGGTAATCATTTTCAACAACAAAATCAATAACTGTCTATTTCAATGGAACGCAAAGTCAAAACAAGAAATGTGTTAGTGGGCTTTTCACAGGCACTTTAAAGGCAAACACCAATCCTCCAATTCCTTGTTACTTTATGAGGGCTCATATTTTATAACACATTGATGGGACTATATGTTATAGATTATATTTTTGTTTTTTTTATTCAGAGAAAATCAGCAAAAGGAAAAGAAAAGAAGATGAAGAGAAAGGAGGTATTATTGATAATACTTTTATAATTGTTACAGTAGTTTCATAGCCACATTGATACAACACATCAACACATTCAGGCTGCATTACATGTGCATTGAGTCTCACTCACTCAGCACCAGGGGTGAATTTAAGAGATATTCATTTTCAAGGCCATAATGTACTTGATGATGTTGTAGTAGTTGATATAGGCTCGGATTTTGATGAGAAAACTGCATGATTTTTTTTTAAATCAAAAAATTTGTTGTTTTCAAAAAATAGACTGAGCATTTGAAGAATAATTTAAGGTAGTGAGACTATTATTTGCATACTTGTTTT